ACGCCTGAGGTGAGGGCAGCGGGGATCTTTTTGAGACCTCGCTGCTCCCGCGGGGGCTGCGGATTGCGCAACTGTCGCCGCTTTCGTGGGCAGCTGGGAGGCACAGCGCAGGTAAGCGCAGCGGGGATCTTTTGGAGACGTCGCGGCTTTGTCGGGGGCTGCGAACTGCGCAACCATCGTCACTTTCTTGGGCTTCTCGAAGGCACGCCAGAGGTGAGGGCAGCGGGGATCTTTTTGAGACCTCGCTGCTCCCTCGGGGGCTGCGGACTGCGCAACCGTCGCCGCTTTCGTGGGCTCCTGGGAGGCACGCCGGAGGTGAGGGCAGCGGGGATATTTTTTGAGACCTCGCTGCTCCCTCGGGGGCTGCGAACTGCGCAACTGTCGCCACATTCGTGGGCTCCTGGAAGGCACGGCGGAGGAAAGTGCAGCGGGGATTTTTTTGAGACCTCGCGGCTTTGGCGCGGGCTGCGGACTGCGCAAATGTCGCCGCTGTCGTGGGCTCCTGGGAGGCACGGCGGTGGTGAGGGCCCTTTGAGACCTCTCGGGTGCTGCGGACTGCGCAACCGTCGCCACTTTCGTGGGCTCCTGGGAGGCACGGCGGAGTGCAGGGCCACGCAGATCGTACATCTCTTGCAATGTGTTCTTGTGCATGTAGCGTTCATATAAATGGTCGCCTCGCGTGGAGAAGGGCTTGGGTACGTCTCGGGATTCTGTTTTCGGAAAATTGAGAAGGGGCATGGGATGAGGAGGAGGAGGAGGAGACGGAGGAGGAGGAGGAGGAGGAGGAGGAGGAGGAGGAGGAGGAGGAGGAGGGGGAGGAGGAGGAGGAAGGAGGAGGAGGAGGAGGAGGAGGAGGAGGAGGAGGAGGAGATCTAGTGGCCTTCAGCCCATCCCGCCACCGTGCCTTGCTATGGAAAAGAGGCCTCGCTGGGTCCTCTTGGAGTCCCTTCGGAGGCCTCTTGGGGGGCTTCCTGGGAGGCCTCTTGGGGGCAGTCTTGCGGGCCTCTTTGGGCCCCTCTTGGGGGCCGTCTCAGGGGCCTCGGCGTCCTGGGGTCGTCTCGGGGCGATCCCCGGGGCCTCCTGGTCTGTCTTGGACTCCTGAGGCCGAAGAGCCGAGGGTGCTGAGATCCTACAGAGGCCCGAGACCTAGGGCCTCCGAGAGGCCCCCAGGAGGGCGCCCGCCGTGTGCCATGATGCTAGAGGTGGCGGAGTGAGTGAGCGAGTGAGTGAGCGAGCGTGCGAGTGAGGGAGTGAGCGAGTGAATGTTCGAGCGAGCGAGTGAGGGAGTGAGTGAGTGAGTGAGTGAGGGAGGGAGGGAGGGAGTGAGTGAGTGAGGGAGGGAGGGAGGGAGTGAGGGAGTGAGTGAGGGAGAGGAGAATCGAAGAAGCAGCAGCCGTATGAGCATGCACTTTTGGAGCTCCGCGCGGGTTTCCCGGATCGGCGCTGGGCTCTCCCTGGCGGCGCCTCCGGCGCCGCCCCCGGGGCGCCACGGGGGGGGCCTCTCCAGCGCAGGTCCAAGAGCTCCGCGCGGAGCTCCAACAGTTGATGTTTGGAGTGAGGGAGGAGCAGGAGGAGGTGCAGCAGGCGAAGCACGAGCGGCAGGGTACCTCCCCACCCCGTCGGCCCGCACGTGCGCGCGTGGTTGGTGGCCGCTTTCTTGGGAGGGCAGGGATGAAGATTGGCAGAGCGCTTGAACTGTGGATCCCGTGGGCCCATCACTGTCGTCTCATAGGCGAAAGCGTCTCTGGGATGCCTCCGTGCTGTGGCGCGTGGGCCGGCCAGCAGGCAGGCGAGAGGAACGGCTCGGGAGCGAGGCGAGACCGCGGCCAGGTGATCCTGAGAGTCACCATCAAGCCAGACAGGCCTGTGGTGAGCTACCTGACGCCTCTGACAGGCGAGGCGTCCTCTACTCGGGGCCGATCTCTTCCCCTATTCGAAGAAGAGAAAACGCCATAAACATAAACTTTTCCGGGGGGGTCCAGCGCAGATCCACGAAAATCGCGCAGAGCGCCAAGAGTTTATGTTGTGTGTCATGCCGTTTTTTTTTCTGCTTCTGCCTGCGGAGCTGGCGCCTCTCTCGATACGCTCTCTGGCTGTCCTTCGAGGCTGGGTGGTCCTCGGGAGGAGGCATTGGCCCCCCTCCCCTTCTCCTCCCTCCAGGGTCCTCCAGGGTCGACCCGAGGGGGGCGCTCTTCCCACTCCAGCACGGAGCCATGCACACATCGCCTTCGGGACCGTCGTGATCCACGGAATGCACCGACGGCGCATGGCTTGGCCCGCGCGCACACGGGTGTGGGAGCGCGAGGGGAGCGGCCCTCCGAGAAGGCCGGGGGGCTTCTCAAACAGTCGGACTGGGGTATGAGATCGAGGCCGGTTCAGGGAGGGTGCCCTAGTCGGGTGTTGCTAGAAGTACCCCTGGCCCAAGGTACCCCCAGGATTCTCAGGGTGGCCCAGACGGCCTCCAGGGCACCCCTCACGAGGCCCAGAGGGCCCCAGGGGCTCCAACACGGAGCGCAAAGCTGGGGGCACCTTGGGCCCTGGGCACTTCTAGCAACACCCGACCTAGAGTTCTTCATGCTTGCTCGGATAGTCTTGTGCACCCCTAGGAGGGTGCCCTTGGACGTTCTCCCTGTTTTGGCCGGCGGAGGGCCTCGTGTGCTTGAGGGACGTTCTTCTGGCCCGGTCCGATTGTGTGAAGCAGGGCCTTCGCAGAAGGGTCTGGAGGCTTCTGCGGACTTCTGAGATCAGGAGGGGAAACGCACACACAGAGACACAAACTCATCGTCGACTCCCAGGAAGATGTGGGAAACTGTGGGCAGTGGGGTGGCAGACGAGAGCCCAGAGGCTATGGGGGAAAGTATAGGTCATCCTGGGATCTGTGCGTATCTTCATTTGCGTGTCCCCGTGGGCCCCTTGCTCTGAGAAGCCTCCCGCCACCTCTCGGGACCTCCCCCGCCCTCTCCCTCCCTCGGACGGCCGCCCCCCCCCGCCCTCCCGCCCTCCCGCCCGCCCCCCCCTCCCCCCTCGCGCCGCAGATCCGGGGCGCCTAAGAACCCCCCCCCCCGCCGGTTGGGCCAGCAACGCCTTCGCCCTGGAGAGCGCGGGCGGTCGCACGCGCCCACCGCGGCTTCCGCTCCACTGGCGAGCACGGGCGGTCGCACGCGCCCACCGTGGCTTCCACTCCACCACTGTGGAGCACGGAGGTCACAGGCGCCCGACGTGGCCGTCTCTCAACTGGAGAGAGAGAGAGAGAGAGAGAGAGAGAGATAAAGAGAGAGAGAGAGAGAGAGCACGGGCGGTCGCAAGCGCCCGTCGCGGTTGTCACTCGAGGGCGGGGCAACCGCTGGGCAGAACGGGGGCGAGCGCCATGGGCTCACCCTGCAACGCAGCTGGCTCAGTCCACTCTATCACGCCTTGCGTTTTTGGGACGCTGCGGCATCGCCTCTGGACGGCCGTTTGTGTCGTGCAGAGTCTGGACCCTTAGTTGCGACCGTTTCGGTTGCCACCGCACGGGATTTGCTTCTCATTTCTTCCTCGTCCTCCTCCTCCTGCCGCATCTGCGGGCCGTAATTCGTGACATTTTCGTTGCGTGCTGATGCCTTTGCAGGCCGTCCCATCAATTTTGGGTTTACCGACCTATCCTCGATTTGAGGCCCGTCCCCGTCGTCAGTAGCCAGAATTTCGGCCACGTTCGCATGTTTGGTTGACGGCACATTGGGACGCTGCGGCTGTTATCTGGTGCCCTTCTGCGGCCTGTCAGTTTCGGTAGGTTTCGATCTCGCTGTCGGTTCGGTCGTTTGCCTACGAAGTGTCCTTTCTCCAGTTCTGGGATGTCTTTGGGTCCTCCGTATTGGCTGGCTCTTGGGCCAGCCCCTCTGGGGATTTCTCTGGACGCTCTTTGGGCTACGAAATCTTTCTGCCAGCAGAAGAGCGTGGGAAGCAACAACTCAGGGAGAAGCCACAGGCTTGTCGAGATTTTGGCGTATATGGGCCCTCGCACGAGCCCCCTTGAGGCCTCTCTTGAGGCCTCTCTTTGGGCCTCTTGGGTTCTCTTGGAGTTCTCTTGGATCATCCTTCAGGCATCTTGGGCAACTTGGAATCCTATTCGGACTGTCTTGGATGCCATCTTGGGCTTCTTGGGGGTCACCATTCCAATATCATGCGGCTAGGTTGCGGATCGACGGCGTCTCGAAAGCGCCCTCAGGCGAAATAGAGCTCTTAAGACTCGAACGCTGCACAGGCTCGAGCATGTACGTGCTCAGACGTTGCGGCCCAGAGTCGTGATATCTGCTTTGGTGGGGACGCGAGCTTGGATCCGACGGCGGAGTGCTCGAGCGTGCAGCAAATCGTAATTCCGCCCTTCGAGTGCATTAGCGTACGCTAGTGTCTTTCTAATCGATGAGGCAGCACCGATTCAGCGCCGATCTAGCGTCGATCAGCGTCGACTAGCATCGATTAGCGGCGGTCAGCGTCGATTCGCAAGAGCTGGCAAGACGGCACGGGAGACTCCCATGAGCTGCCACAGGAGGTGCTCTTGGCCATGCCGTTGCTCGCACGGCCGCCTGGTCTGGCAGCCCTTTCGCCCGAGACTTCCGCACGATCGTTTCAGCCTGAGCCGTGCTCTCGTCCCAATGCCTGCGACATCTTTGGGCCCAGACGGCCGCTGCCCCTGATAAAAAAAACACACACTACGTGCACATGACTGGATGTTTCCCAGGAGCCCGAAGGATTGCCCAGGAAGACACGCTTTGCGCCAGGCCACCCCCGATTTCTCGACCCGTCTCCCTGCCTTTGCTGCTTTGAGGGCGCTTTGCCGACGCAGTTCTCACCTGGAGGTGGCTGGGCATCGTTCGGACCTTTTCTCGGTCCAGACGGCCACGACCCCTGGCAAGAAGTGTTTGGTCAGCGGGCGCAGGGGTGCGGAAGCGGTCAGGCGCCGGTCGGGCCACAGGCGGGGCGCGCCGGAGCAAGTCAGGGCACAAGAGGAGAGGAGGAGCGGAGCGGGGCGAAGATCGGACGGGGCCAGACGAAGGGTGGATCCGTTCAAGCTCGTTCCAGGAAGCTCTCGGAGCGTTCTACAACGCTCTGATATGGCCGCGCAGCCCGACAGGTTCTCCAGAGCCGCCGGACCTCAGAGATTCTCGACTCATCCTCACCCGAGTTTTTATCCTCGTCTTGGCCTCGTCTTCGGAGAAGAGCCGCTCAGGCCGATCCCTGGCTACCAACGCACTTTTTACTTCGCAGCGCGGCAGAGGCAGTCCGCACGCGCGCTCGGGCAAGCCAGGGGACGGCACTGCGAGTTGCCTGGATGCAATTCGGGTGGGCGCCAATGGGGGGTGACCCTCATGGTGGGTGAAGAAAAGGGCCCTGAAGGCGCCCTTTGGGGCCCCTTTGGGTAGGTGGGGGGAAGAGGGGAGTGGGCGCGGGAGGAGGGGGAAGGCACAGAGGCGCTCACGCAGCGGAGACCGCAGCGGGGAGCCGGGGGCGGCCCGCTGCTGGTGCTGCACTTTTGGCAGCGGGCCACCTGGCCGGGTCTTCGGGTCGGGTTGGGATGGGGTGTGGTAGGTCGTCGGGGTGAAGACCTCGCGCCCGGGGGACGGGCCCCGGGCTCCAGGACCCGCTCCCCTCGGGACCCGTGGCCCCCCCGTGCTGACCAGGAGCCCTCCGCCCTCGGCCCCCGGAGCCCCCGAGAGGATCCCCCGCGCGAGGGCCGCCCCGAGGAGGCGGCCCCCGCGGCCCCGGGCCTCCGCCGACGCGAGGCCGTGGACGGAGGGCCGAGGAGGCCGCGCAGGGCCCTGGAGGATCGACCGGCGGTCCTCGCGAGGGCCGGCGGGGGCCAGGCGCAGGTCGGGCACGTCCCCCTGCAGGCGGAGTCCTGAACGAGAAGTAAAAGACATAGTTCGGGGGTGGACAGACCTCCTACCCTGACACGTCGATTAAGGAATTGGCCGTTTTCGGTTCGCTAGAGGGCGTGCGGCCGTCATTTTTGCGGGTCCAGGTCCGTCGGTTTCGGTCCCAGGCCGTTTTCACTAAGGGGAGGTTTGCTAAAGGGAGGTTTGTCCACCGCCGAATAGTCCAAGAATGCTCCCAAGTGCTCAGACGTGCTCAAAGCATCGTCCCCATACGATTATTTTTTGACTGCTCTGGGGGGTCTTCCCCCCCTCTGCAGAGGGGCAGGCCCGACGCCAGGCCAGGCGGCCCCCGCCGACCCTCGGCCCTCGGCCCTCGAGGAGGGTCGAGGGCCCTCGGTGGCTTGGGGCCCTCCGCCGGCCGCTCTCTCTCTCTCTCTCTCTCTCTCTCTCTCTCCACGTGCAGTCTGGCCGCGGCGGCGGGAGCCCCATGTCAGGAGGGGAAGAAACACACAGACACAGTTCATCGGCGATTCCCCAGAAAATGTGCGAAAATATGGGAGAAGTGAGGGGGAAGACAGAAACCCAGAAAATATGAGAAAATATGGGGAATATTTTGATTTGTGTGTATTTATTTGTGTGTCCTGGGGCCCCTTCACCATGCCCCTCGGGGAGGGGGCTCGGTGCTCCTCCGCTGCTCTGCACTGTCTCGAGAGGCTTCCCTCGGGCTTTCGGTGGGACGTCGAAGTTCTCAGCCCCTGGAGAAAGCAGGGGCCTCTGTTCCTCGTGGGGATGGCCTGCTGCAGGTTGTCTCGAGAGGCTCTCCTCGGGCCTTCGGTGGGACGTCGAAGTTCTTAGCCCATGGACAAAAATGGGGCCTCGTTCCTTAGCGGGAAGGCCTGTTGCAGTTTGTCTTGGAGGCTTTCCTTAGGTTTTCTGTGGGACATCGAAGTGAAGCCCTTGGACAAAAAGGGGGGGGGGGCTCGTTCCTTATCTGGGGCTCCTCTCTTGGTGCCCGCGCCCCTGCGCGCGAGGCATGCGGGCCGAGGACATGGAGAACGGCGTGTCCCTGGCCGAGGCCACCGAGCTCCTGAGAAGGCACTTGCCCCCGGACGCCGTCCTCGTTGGCCAGAAGCCGGACGGCGACATCGAGTGGATGAGACTCCGAAAAGGCGGGGATCGGAGGTTGACAGACCTCCCACCCTGACGCGTCGATTCGCGGATTGGCCGTTTTCGGTTCGCGAGAGGGCGTCGCGGCCGTCATCTTGGCGGGCCCAGGGTCGTTGGTCTCGGTCCTGGGTCGTTTTCGCTATGAAGGGAGGTTTGTCCACCGCCCGGGGGAGCTGGCGATGCAGTCTTGGCGTTGCAGTTTTTCCACGACGGTCGTTGCAGTTGCAGTGGGTGCGGGAGACTTCCTCCGGACACCCGCCTCCATGAGCCCCACAAGGGCGACAACAAGAGGATACGGATGACCCGCTCGGCTCACCAACACGATCTGGTGGCCCCACGGGGAGGGGGCTCCCGCCCGAGACGTCCCGCAGTTCTCCCACGAGGCGAGGCTCACGCGGGAAGGTCCTGCGAGATCCTGGCGCCGCAGGTTTTCCACGACGGGCGTTCCCGCCCCGCTCTTGATTCGGGCCCCCCGGGACCTCCCGGATCGATCCGGGCTCGAAGAAACAAATGGCACAGGGCTCCAGTCATTGTGTTTTTTTTTTGGTCTTTGTCTTTTGTTCTTTGTTTGTGCTGTTGTGCTGATTTGGCTCTGTGCTCTGCTGGCTCAGGGTGAGCTCGTTGACCATGTCCTCTTCTGGTACGGTTCGGCTCCTCCAGGAAGCTCGGAGGCCCAATCAACGAGCTCCACCTTGGCCACGAGCGTGATCAAACCGTGCGGCACGGGGTCGGACGCTCCGCAAGAGGTGCCAGTGGCGGAGGCAGCAAGCTGCACGAGAGGGCGCGAGCTGGGTGCTTTTCGGGCAGGCATCGACTTCGCCGATGTGGTCGACCTCGCCGAAGTGCTGAAAGGCTTCAACCAGAAGTACGGCCAGTTCAACTACCACTCCCTGCAGCACCAGGCACGGCCAGAGGGGTCGGGCATACACGCGCGCTGCGGGCCCGGCTGCTCGCCGACGGTGGCCCCCTGCCCGCCGACTCGATCTCTGCCGACTCGGCTGCCGATGTCCGCCGAGTTCCGATTGCTTTCGTTCGTTGGCGGCGAGCGAGGGGGGGAAGTGGGAAGGAGAAGGCCTTCTCAGAAGGTTCGGAAGTCCTCCGGCCTTCTGAGGTTTCCTAAGCCTTCCCTGGGGACACAGAAAACTTCTCAGAAGGCGCGAGGGCTTGTGGGAAGCCCCGCCGCCTTCTGAGAAGGCCTTCTCCCTCTCATTTCCCCCTTCGTTCGCCAGCAAGGAAACCCATGCCAAGAAACACCCTTCTTGACTCCAGGGTGCCTTGGGTTTCTTGGGTTTCGATGGTTATGCTATGTGGCAGCGTGGCGTTCCCACGCCAAACATCCAGGGACGTCATTGGGTGTCCGGGTTGAGTTCCTTGTGTAAGGTTTCTTGTGCTCGAGCTCCTATTGTACGCTCCGAGGGTCCAGCTGCTCCGACAGCGGCCCTCTCCGCCGAGTCGATCTCTGCCAATTAGGCCGCCGATGTGCGCCGAGTTCCGATTCCTGCCGTTCCGTTGCCAGTGTGTCCTATTTCTTATATCGACTCGATGCTGGGCTGGCCTGGTCGTCCTTTGTTCGGGACGATTGAAATGGGTACGGAAAGAATGGGTACAAAGACTAACAGCAGTTCTTGTCCAGTTTGAACAGGAACCGCTGTCGTCGTCGCCGCGTCTGTTGTCCATTTGAGACAGAAGGCCGCTTGCCCAACAGCGGCCGCTGTTCGTATTGGACAGCATTGGTTGTTCGGCATCGTACCCATTTTCATCGTACCCATGGCGGGCGTCCAAAGTTGTGCCCCGCGGGTATCAGTCCTTTCTTCTCCCTCTCTGCTCCGCGCCTGCTGCTTCCCAGACCCCCTCGCGTCGTGGACCTACCTCGTCGTTGATACATCGACTTCCAGGTCGGAATCTGAAGGCGAGTATCGAATCGGAAGCGGAAGCCATCGAAGTCGAATCGAGTCGAGGTGGGTCGAGATGAGCCCTGGCGGCTGTCGTGGGAAGGCGAGGATCGTTGAGGGCTTAACGACCTCTACAGTCCCTCGACTCGCGCTGGATCGGTCACGAGTTGCTCCAAATGCCCCGTGAGATCTCGGGATGTTCTTGGATTTTCCAGGTTTTACCCGGATCTACCTCGATGTATCTGCATCTACCTTGGTTTATCTGGCTTGATTCCCAAAAAGTCGGTTGGCGAAAATTCGTCAAGCCCTCAGGGAATTGAGAAAAACAGAAGGGCCGAGCGCAAAATGGGGAGGCGCGCGAATGGGACGATCTTTGCCCACCGCCCCTCGCGTGTTTCTGTCGGTTCCGTTCATGAGTCCTCCCTTGGACTCACCCTCTCATTTCCCTATGCTCTTCTTCGCATGCTCGGCCTCCAGTCTTCTCATATGAGGGTGAAGCTCCAGGCTGAAGGCTTGCCTTCACTCCTCATCGTCTTCCTCCTTGCTCCTGTTCCGGTCCCCGCTGCTTTCTGTGTTGTCGTGGTCTTCTGCTTCCTTTCCTGCCCCCCCTTTCGGTTAGCAGCGTCCCTGCATATTTCTCTGCCTGTCTTGCTGCCTTCATCATAGTTTGTCATTGCAGCTCTTCCTTCTTTCCCTCACCGCTTCGCCTCCGCAAGGCTGCGATTTTATTAGACAAGCACTCGTCCGGTGCACACGATCCAGCTTGGGACGCGCAAGTGTCCATGGAGCTATACCACAAGGCGGCCCTGCCCTCTCTGCAGTGCTCCTCCTCGATGTGTTGATCGTCCCTCTACGTGCGGTCGGTTCCCGCGGCGTTGACGCGGCATCGACCCCAGCGCAGGCGTTCAAGGTTGAACGCCGCCGGTGGCCGAAACTCGAATCGGCCAGTTTCGAACGACCTGCGCCATCGGATCGGATAACCGCCATCGTTCAGGATTGAGCGGTGCATGCGTGTCAGAAACCAGCGCCGACGTCGTCATGACACGAGCCCGCCGTAATGGAGGAGCGATTACAAACTACCCCTCCCCCCCGTTTCGGGGGTCGCCTTCGTATTGTGTAGGGCAGAGGAATATCTGAGGGGCGAAAGTGTTTTTCAATCGTCCCCTCCTCCGCCAGATGTTTTCGGCGTCGCGTTGGCCGTCGTAATCCCGTCTGTCGTCATCCTGTTGTCGTCGTCGTCGTCGTCGTGGTCGTCGTCGTGGTCGTCGTCGTGGTCGTCGTGGTCGTCGTCGTCGTCGTCGTCGTCGCCGTCGTCGTCGTCGTCGTCGTCGTCGTCGTCGTCGTCGTCGTCGTCGTCGTCGTCGTCGTCGTCCATCGTCGCCCCAGGACTGCAGGACGCCCGCGCTGCCCCCCCCCCCCCGCACTCCGCCCCATATGCCGTCCACAAGTGGCCGTCGTCGTCGTTGTCGTCCGTCGTCGTCGTCCCCCGGGGTTGCAAGACGCCTACGCAGCCCCCGCCCCTCTTTGCATGCCATCCGCGAAGGGCTGTCGTCGTGGTCGTCGTCGTCGTTTTCGTCGTCGTCGTCGTCGTCGTCGTCGTCGTCGTCGTCGTCGTCGTCGTCGTTGTCGTTGTCGTTGTCCTCGTCGTACCCCGGGACTGCAAGACGCCTGCGCAGTCCCCCCCTTCCCCCCTCCCCCTTCCCCTCTTTTCATGCCATCCGCAAAGGGCCGTTGACGACGTCGTCGTCGTCGTCGTCGTCGTCGTCGTCGTCGTCGTCGTCGTCGTCGTCGTCGTCGTCCGTCGTGCGTCGGACTGCAACACGCCCGCGCCAGGGGGCAGGGGGTGCCTTCGACCAGCCCGAACAGACACCCCCGCCGCTCCGAATTATCGGCCCTCCAGCCCCCCCCCCATGGCCTCCAGACGGCCCGGGGGCCAAACGGAACCGTCCGCCCTCCGTCCGTGGGCCGAGCTCTTTGGCTCGCTATTGTGATGGCCGCGGGGCTGGCTGAACTATCTTCGTAACCATCACGCCATTTTTATTTCTCAATCGTCCACCACTATTTTTGTCCTCCCTTCCTTCTTACCTTTGCCTCTCTCGACCTTTGCGTGCTGTGCATTTTTCGGGGTTTCCTATGTGTTGTGTACGTTGCGGTGTTCTCTTGTGTCCAACGCGGGATCGACATGGGCTCGACGCACATTTGACGTGGATACGACGCAGATTCGACGTTCGACATGGGTTCGACGTGTGCTTGGCTTGTATTACTGCGCGATGCGGCAAAAAGACCCCGAATATGCGACGTAGCTTTCGTCCCTCTTCCGCCAGGCGGTGGAGGCCACGGCCGAGGAGTTGGAGAATATGCGGCAGTCCCTGCTGCAGAAGCGGCCGGCACCCAGCGTGGCCACGCCGCCACGCCGCCCAAAGTACCGCTGTCTGCACGGATGCCTTCCTGGGTGGCCAGCACGTCTGTCCTTCAGTCATCCGTAGGAGGGCGAGTTGGGACAACGGCGGGTGGCCTTCGGAGGGGTGCCCTCGTCGCCACGGGTGGACGCAGCTCGGGAAACCTGGTGCGTTGGAGCCGGAAGTGGGGTTTTGGGCCTGGTTTTGAGTTGCCGCGGTCTCAGTTCGCCCTGCTGCCAGTCATGCGTTCAGCGTCCCGGAGGGAAGGAAGGACGTGCGGCCCGCTTTCGCCAAGCGTTCGTATCGAATGCCGTTGTCTCGATCAAAATCAGTAAGAATACAAGGTAGCGAAGCAGAGGGTGTCGGGAGGGGATGAGGACAAGGAGCATGAGGAAACGAAGCAGGACGGAGGAGAAAGGCGCATGTGAATTTCACGTGGCATGTACACGGTATTGCGTTGACCCGATAGTAGACTGGCATATTTTCAGGCACGTGCATTGCTTCAGGGCAGTTTCGCGTTCCAATTCCTCTTCGGCATGTGCTGCGGCTGGCCGTCCTGTTCTGCCTCACGTGTGCAATCGGCTCGATGGTCTGTCTCTCTGTCTTCTGATACATCTTTCTACCTTATTGTACGAATGCTCTGGCCCCCCCCAGCGCCTATGATCACGATCCATGATTATTTCAGAGCTCGCCCCACCAAACTTACACGCCACCATTTTGTCCAGCAGCAGGTCGCTCCAGCCCTCTGTGTGCTTTGACCATCTTGCATTCTATTTTTCCCCAACTATCCTGTGGTGTTGGGCCCTCGTTTTGAAGAGGCAGCGCCCCCGCGTCCCTCGTCCCGCTGCCCCCTCCCTCCTCCCTTCTCCGCAGTTCGCATGCGACTCCCCCGCCCAGTACAGCGTTTCGTGGCCCCAGAAGGGGGCTCCACCGAAGGTCCCAGTGGCGCAGTCCGCATGCGGCTCCTGCGCCCAGTGCAGCGTTTCGTGGTCCCAGAGGGAGCTCCACCGAAGGTCCCAATGGCGCAGTCCGCATGCGGTTCCTGCGCCCAGTATAGCGTCTCGTGGCCCCAGAGAGAGCTCCACCGAAGGTCCCAGTGGCGCAGTCCGCATGCGGTTCCCCCACCCAGTGCAGCGCTTCGAGGCCCCATAGGGAGCTCCACCGAAGGTCCCAGTGGCGCAGTCCGCATGCGGTTCCTGCGCCCAGTTCAGCGTTTCGTGGCCCCAGAGGGAGCTCCACCGAAGGTCCCAATGGCGCAGTCCGCATGCGGTTCCTGCGCCCAGTACAGCGTTCCGTGACCCCAGAGAGACCCCAGGCATCCAAGACCTTGTCTGAGCTGGCCTGGGGTAGTCCGCGCAATGTCTAACCGGACTTCGCTCAGTGTAGCTTCGCTACGCTCGTGCAAGGGTGACCCCCTATGCCACTCATGTTCTTTTCGTGCTGTTTCACCTTGTTTCACCTAGTGGTTACCCCAAGGGGTATGGGCTGCCTGGATGGCCGCATGTTTGAACCATCCAGTATCCTTCAGCTCGGCTGTTGCCGACATTTCTATAAGCGCGAGTGCGCGAGTGTCCACCCATTTTCGCATTGCTTGTATGTGTACGCGTCTTGGTACTGCTTGTTTTCACTTGTTGTCAAACCAAACAAAAAAAAAAAAAGAGAGACCTCCACCGAAGGTCCCAGTGGCGCAGTCCGCATGCGGTTCCCCCACCCAGTACAGCGCTTCGTGGCCCCATAGGGAGCTCCACCGAAGGTCCCAGTGGCGCAGTCCGCATGCGGTTCCGGCGCCCAGTGCAGAGCTTCGTGGCCCCAGAGGGAGCTCCACCGACGGTCGCAGTTGCGCAGTCCGCATGCGGTTCCGCCACCCAGTGCAGCGCTTCGTGGCCTCATAGGGAGCTCCACCGAAGGAATGTCCCAGTGGCGCAGTCTGCATGCGGTTCCCCCACCCAGTACAGCGTTTCGTGGCCCCATAAGGACCTCCACTGAAGGTCCCAGTGGCGGAACTCGCATGCGGTTCCTGAGCCCACTGCAGCGTTTCGTGGCCCCATAGGGAGCTCCACCGAAGGTCACAATGGCGCAATCCGCATGCGGTTCCTGCGCCCAGTAAAGCGTTTCGTGGCCCCACAAAGAGCTCCACCGAAGGTCCCAGTGGCGGAACTCGCATGCGGTTCCTGCGCCCAGTACCGCGTTTCTTGGCCCCAGACGGAGCTCCACCGAAGGTCCCAGTGGCAGAACTCGCATGCGGTTCCCCCACCCAGTACAGCGTTCCGTGACCCCAGAGGGAGCTCCACCGAAGGTCTCAGGGGCGGAACTCGCATGCGGTTCCCCCGCCCAGTACAGACAGCGTTCCGTGGCCCCAGAGGGGGCTCCACGGAAGACGATACCCACAACCGCGGTACTCACAGCTGCATCTGGTTGGTTTCTTCGCCAGGATACTTCAGGATTTTCGCTGTGCAGACTGCACGGCCGGCTTGCCCTCTCTCTATATAGTGTGTATTGTAGTTGGTTTAGTGGTCGTGCTCACAGTTTGTGTTGCGTCTCATGTTGCCATCACGTCTCAAAATACCTGTGCGCTTGCTGTTCTTCTGTTCTGAGCTTCCAGCCTTCGTTTTGCCAGCAGAAAGTGTGAGTGCGATCATGCACGCTCGAATCATCGGTCAAGGCGAAGCAGTATAACTATGTGATGGACGACGTGTGCTTGGCAAAGTTTATGCCCAAAAATTGCATATGTGGCAGGCTCGGCATTTTGGGGAGAGGGTTGCAGGGTCGGAGCGAAGCGACAAGCTGAGCACCACACGGGATGCACTGTGGTCTGTGCGTGGGCACGTGCATCTCCGCGCGCAGATGGGACCGACAAAGCTCAGCGTTCTTCTCAAGTATGCTGTCATTCTTACTCATCACTTTCTTGTTCAACACAGCGCTCCACTGGCTCCATGGTGTTATTGTATGCCGTTTGCCGTGTTGAGCGCGCCGTTCCACCACTCCCGCTGCAATCCTTATGCATCATCCCTCTCCTCCTTGCTTGCCTCCCGCTTCCCTCCTGGTATCTTCCTCTCGGCCCACTCCTCCCTCCTCCTTCCCCGCTCTCTGCCGCCTGCCTCGCTGCCTCCCTGCTTCCCTACCCTGCCCTCCTACCTCCATACCTCTCTCTACCTCCTCTCCTCCTTTCTCCGTCTGCTCTCCTGGCGCCTCCCTCCCTCCTGGCTCCTCCCTCTCCTCCATCCTCCTCCCTGCCTCCCTGCCCTGTACATTTTTGCCTCCCTGCCTCCCTACTGACGCCTCCCCCCTCCTCCCTGCTCCCCCTACCTCTCTCCTTCCTTCGTTCCCCCTCTCTCCTCCCTACCCACTTGCTTGCGCAACTCCCTACCTCCCTCCTCACTCCACCCCTCTGTTGGAGAGTCTTTTCCCCGAATGTCTGTGGATGCCCCCTCTAGCCCGACCGGCGCCTGACCGCTTCCGCACCTTTGAGCCCGCTGACTTAAAAATGTCTGTGGAGGCCCCAGGGGCCCCCCAGAGGCCCAGAGAGGGCCGAAAACGTCTTGACAGGGAGGAGAGCGGAGGAAGGACGAGGCTGAGGAGGCAGAGGAGGTGTGGAGGGATGGAGGGAGGGAGGAGGCGGAGTGGTGCACGGACGTCCTGGGTCGGGGAGGCCGTGCGGATGAGCCCCGGGGAGCCACTGGCTCCTGCGCAGCTGGCTCGGGTGCTTGTCTGCCAGCCGCTTCGAGGTGTCCTGAGCGTGCAATTCGTGTACAACTGAATCTCCTCATCGCCTGCGTGCCTGGGTGCGCGCGCTAACAGAAATATTATTTTGGCACTGCTTTGCGTCGGCGCGTGCACGTTGCCTCCGACGGCGCTACCTGGGCTTTAGAGATGCGCGGACAAGCGTCCGCAGCGGAGGTCAGCCGGTCTGCGCGTTTTTTGTCGGAGCGACCCGCGTCCTTCTTTGTCCTTGCACGCCCATGGTTCACCACTCGCAAGATCCTCCGCCGTCTGTCTCCTCCCATGCTTCCTTCGGTCTCGCCTGGGCACGTTCACAGCACATCGTAGGGGCGAATGGCGAATCTCAGCCTGGTGCACTTTCAGCTGAATGGGTGCAGTGAGCGGGAGACTTGTGGCAATCGATCTTTTGAGCGAGAGAGAGAGAGAGAGGTAGAGAGGAGCCTGTGCATCATTCGGACATGGATGGGTGTATTCAGTTACGTGTCTGTGCCCATCCATGGTGCTCTTACAGATCCTTGTCGCGTGAAGCCTGACGTCGTGTCTCGTGAGCGCACTGGAACAGTTGGATTCATGATGTTTTTCCAGGTTAGGCTTGCCTAAGGTGTTCTCACATTTTTGGAAGAATCGGTGGGTGTCAGGCCTGCTCCGGCCAGACTTCCCCCGCATTGTTTGGTCTTGTTTTTTGGTTGCCTTCCTCGGGTTGCTTGGTCTTGTTTTGACTGTCTTCCTCGGGTTGCTTGGTCATGTTTCTTGACTGCCTTACTATGGTTGCTTGGCCTTATTTCTTGGCTGCCTTTGCCGGGTTGCTTGGTCTTGTTCCTTGATTGCTTTTGTTTGCTTGATCTTGTTCCTTGACTGCCTTCCTCGGGTTCCTCTGTCTTGGTTCCTTGATGCCTAGCAATGTCAAGCAATGCCATGCAATCCCAAGCAACGCCAAGCAGTGCAACACATTGCAAAGCAATGCCAAGCAATGCCAGGGAATTCCAATCCATGCCAACCTATGCCATTCAATGATAAACGATGCCACTGAATGCCAAGCAGTAGAAGCAATGCCAAGCAATTTCAAACATTGCCAAGCAATGTCAAGCAATGCCAAACAATGCCAAGCAATGCAAAGAAATGCCAAGCAAGGGTACGCAATGCTACGCAAGACCAAACCATGCCAGGTAATTCCAGGCAATTTCAGGCAATGTCAAGCAATGCAATGCAAAGCAAAGCAATGCCAAACAGCCCGAAGCAAAGCAATGCCAAGCAAGCAAAGCAGAGCGATGCAACGCAGTGCAAAACAACGCCACGCGACGCCGCACAAAGCAACGCAATGCAAGGACATGCAAGGCAACGCAAAGTAATGCAAAGCAATGCAAAGCAATGCGAAACAACACCAAGCAATGCGAAGCAACAAAAGCAACTCATCGCCAAGCAATGTCCTGCTTGCTTAGTTACTTCAGCAGGAAGCTTCACTCCAACGGTGGCCGCGCTGGGGTAGTTATGGCATCTTTCAGACACCGTGCACACGTCTGTCTTGCGGCATGCGTGCAGCCTGGGGCTCGCGCGCGCACATCTCCCCTGTAACAATACGGCGATCCGCTCGGCGCTGCGGGCTGGAGTGCCAAATCTAGAGCTCCGCTTGGAAGACGAGTCGGCAGGCGGAGCGAGCTTGTGGCCATGGGCGGCACGAGAAAAGGCGCGGCACGAGGCCACAGGTGAAGCGCGAGTCTTTCGTCAGTGAGGCAGCACAGGGACGCGACGTGCGGAGTTCGTACCTTTGTGGCGCTGCCTCACGGGTCTACTCGCCCGACTTGGGTCCATGCGAGCCACGTTGCAGAGCTGCGGGGAATGCTGCAGCCTCTGGCAACCCCTACGTCACGATTCGCGCCGGCGCCGTCTGGGCATGCGCTGTAATGGCTGACTCCCAGACGGCGCCGGCTCGAAGCGTCACGTGAACAGGGGGGCGGGGGCAGGGGGGGGGAGGGCTGCGGCCGGTCACGGTCGTTCTCGCGATTCATAGAAAATGGGTTCCATAGGGTCATTCAGGTCATGGCACCAGCAGCAGCGCTGTCGCTCGATGCTCGTTTTGCCTCTTGGGGCCCACCTCTCGGATCTGTTTGATTCTTAGGCTTACGCCACACCGCCGACCCCTTGTTTATGCCAATCTGGGGGTAGTAGAAGCTGCGAAGGGTTGAAAAGGCGAGTGACATTTGTTTGGTGTCTGTTCGCCGCCACCGCCAGAGGGTCTCGGGCAGTTCCGCGGGGGGGCCCGAGCGGACGGCGACACCGCGAGTTTTGGAGCCACTTGGGGGCCGTTTCGGAGCCTCTGGGGTGCTTCTTGGGGGTTCCTTGGGGCGTCTGGGCGGCCTCGTGAGGGCCTCTGGGGGCCTCTTGGGGCACTCTTGGGGCTCCCTGGGGCTCCTGGGGGCAGAAAGCTAGAGTTTCAACATGTTTGGTCGCCCTCTTGGGCCCCTCTTGGTGCCGTCTTGGAGCCCTCTTGGGCCGTCTTGGGGACCTCTTGGGCCGTGTTGGGGCCGTCTTGGGCCGTCTGGAGGCCGTCTTGGGGGCCTCTTGGGCCATCTTGGGGCTGTCTTTGGGGCCTCTTTGGCCGTCTTGGAGCGTCGGGAAGCCGAAAAGGCGGAAAAGCAAAAAACATGAAAAACACTATGGAAAATCAACAATTTTAGACTCTTGGGGCCCTCTTGGGAGGCTTGTTTGGGACCTCGGGGGCCGTCTTGGAGACCTCTTGGCCCGTCTTGGGGCCATCTTGGGCGTCTTGGAGCGGTCGTTTGGCGTCTCGGGGCCTTCGTGGGCCGTCTTGGAGGCCTCTTGGGGGCTTCTTGGCCCGTCTTGAGGCCCTCTTGGGCCCGGAAAAGCCCCGTGAACCGCTCGTCCCGGCCGTGCTGCGCTCGTGCCGGACCCCCCCCCCCCCCTCCAAATCGACCGGACCGGGCTCCCGGGGGAGGGGTTTGGGGAGGGGGAAGCATCTCACACGCCGATGATCCCCAAGGGGTCGGCGGATTCGATTCAAGTTCGACTCTAGTTCGACTCAGGTTCGACTCAAGTTCGACTCAAGCTCGACGAGACGACGGACGTTCGACGCAGCATCGACGCACGAGTGGAGCGAGCGGCTCCAGGAAGGTCCCCAGAATGCGTCGCTGACTGCCAGCTAATGAAGAGACCAGGAAATGCGCGGATCAGCGCCAGCCATTTCGGTTCGATCCGATGTCGATTCTGACTGGCCCGATCCGATTCGATCCCAGTTGTCCGACGATCCGATGCGGCTCGATGCTTGCATGGCGCTGCTGTGCAGTCTTGCGCAGCCCTGATCTGATTTGGACTCCGTGCCGATCCCGCCTGGCCCGACGCGCATTCCGATCCGATCTGATCTCCCAGCTCGACGCCAGGTGGCCCTGGTCTGTCGCCACTGCACAATAATGAACTATACTGGAACTGTTCTTGATGGTCGAGGATGCTCCGCTTTTAGGTTCGGCTCCGATTCCTCCTTGTCCTCCTCTTCTCCCCTGGGGGGCCGCTCGAGGGCGCGAAATTGTTCGCGCTTCGCGCTCCGCGCAGCGCGAAACGCGAAGTTAGGCGCCCTTGATCTTTCGAAGAACAAGAAGAAGTGGTATGTGTAACCATAAACGTTCGGGGCTCCGCGCGGATTTCTTTGATCATCCGCGCTGGGCTCCACTGGCGGCGCCTTCGGCGCCGCCCCTGGCGCGCTCAGGGGGGTCCAGCGCCGATTCAAGAAACCTGCTCGGAGCTCCGAGAGTTTATATGTCTGATTCGCCTTCTGTTTGCTTGCCACGCATCGGCGGCGAGCGAGGGGAGGACGTCAGAAGTGGCGGGCCTTCTCAGAGGGCTCGGAAGTCCCCGGGGCCTTGTGAGAAGTTTCATAAACCCTCCCGGAAGACAGAGAACCACTCAGAAGGCGCGAGGGCTTCTGAGAAGTCTCGCCGCCTTCCGAGAAGGCCTTCTCCTTCTCACTTCCCCCCTCGCTCGCCGCCGAGCCTTTTCTCCCCTTCCCCCTCCACCGAGTTTCCTCATAGATAACTCCTCCCCGTCGTATCCCCAGACGTGTCGGCAGGGCGGGCCGGACGTTTCGCCCGATACAGCCTCACCGCTTGTGATCTCGAGTATCGTGAGTGATATTTGCAACAGACAGGGCCGCCGCAGAATGGGGCCCTCAGCGCCGCGCACATTCAGCTTAGCACATTGCTGCAGTTGGAGGGATGGGTAGGGTGGCGGTTTTCAAGATGTGGCTCTCGCTTTGTCGCCGCGTATGCGCATGCTCAGTTCTCAAGAGGCGTGCAACACACTGATGGAAGGCAGTTGCTTGTTGAAATAGGGCCTTCGTCTTAGCGCCGCGCGCACTCGCCTTAACAGCTTGCAGCAGTTACAAGGGTGGAGGGGTGGTGGTGGTGGTCCTTAGAATGGGGATCTCGCCTGTGCGCCGCGCACATTCGTTAAACAAACTTACAGCAGTTACAGGGATGGAGGGGTGGTGGTGGTGTTTTGCAAAATGGGGCGCTCGTCTTAGCGCCGCGCGCAATCGTCTCAACATTTCGCAGCAGTTGCATTGGTGGAGGGCGGCTCCTTTTCAGACTGGGGCTCTCGCCTGAGCGCCGCGCATACTCTTCTCAGATGCTTGGAACTTTTCAAGGATGTAGGATATTTCATCTTCAAGACAGGACTCTTGCATTTGCGCTGCGCACCTTTGCCCTAGACATTTCCATGAGTATGTGGTTTCCAGCTTGAGGGTTTGAATTTTCACGGCCAGACGGTTGACAGAAGTGTCAATTGCTCGAATGGAGGGCAATTTCAATTCCAAGAGGGGCTCTCGCTGTACATTTTACCAAGAGTAACAAGCGTACATGTAACAACATACGTGGAGCACAGTGTATTCAATTAGTTGCACGTGTCGGGGGTAGTTCCTTACCAACACGGGGATCGCGTTGGACACATAGCTAATCTTTCGGTTCCTGACTTGCTGCGTTCCTTATATAACCCGCTAGAAGAGCGCTCGGCAATTCTCTTTTCACAACGGCACACGGCGGCCTCGGCTTTCAAGGGAATTCATGAGGAGGGGACAGGCGACAGAAGGGCGTACTGCAGCATCGTTCGTCGTTGATGCTTCCTTGGCTTACCTCCTCCTCCTCCTCCTCCTCCTCCTCTCCCCCTCCTCCTCCTCCTCCTCCTCCTCCTCCTCCTCCCCCTCCTCCTCCTCCCCCCCACCTCCTCCTCCCCCTCCTTCTCTCCCCCTCCATCTCTTTCATAAGCAACTCCTCCCTGCCGCAACACTAGACACTAGACGTGTGGGTGTGGCGGGCCTGGCGTTTCGCTTTTAGATTTCCGCACCATGCATGGCCCTAACAAGTAACAGTTGAAACGGTTTCACTGACGGAGGGCAAGTCGTTTTTCAACGTGTGGCTCTCGCTTGAGCTCCGCGCACACTCGTTTTAGAAGCTGGCAGCAGTTTCACAGACGGGTGGCAAGGCGTTTGCAACATGTGGTGCTGGCGTCAGCGCCGCGCTCATTCTGCTCACACATGTCGAACAGTTCTATGGATGAATGGCGGACGATTTTCAAAATGTGGCTCTCGCCTTTGCGCCGTGCACATCTGTTCTGAAGTTCGCAACAGTTTCACGGATGGAGGGTGGGTCTTTTTTTCAAAAGGTAGTTCTCGCGTCAGAGCCGCGCATTTCTTTATTATTGAAATTTGCAACTGTTTCAACGGTTCGTATCGTTGAAGTCCCAGAAGCGGTGTTTTAGCAAGATTTCGGATTGTCAGGACGCAGCAGCTACGTTGATTTGTGGAGCTGAAGTGCCAGGAGTGATGTTCTGGCATTGCGTAGGACTGTCAGGGTACAACAGGAACGTTGATCCGCGGCGTGGAAGTCCCAGGGATGGCGCCCTGGCACGATTGAGGATTCCCGGACGTTGTCTCCTAATGGGCCGCTTCTTGCTATGGCAGTGAACTTTAGTAGGGATCTATGACAACGGAACTTGGAGGGAGGGTTTCTTCCAACATCGTTGATGTGTCCTGGGTTTACATTGGTCCTCCTCCTTCCTCCTCCTCCTCCATCTTTCTGGGCATCTCGGAGGGTGCCCCCCCTCCCTTCCTCCCTCCCCCTCGCTCCCCCTCCCTCGCTCCCCCTCCCCTCCCCCTCCCCTCCCTCCCTCCCTCCCTCCCTCCCTCCCCCTCCCTTTCTCCCTCCCTCCCTCCCTCCCTCCTTCCTCCTCCCCTTCCTGCCTCCCCCTCTCCTCCTCCTGTTCCCCGTCCTCACCCTCCTCCTCCTCCTCCTCCTCCTCCTCTTCTTCCTCCTCAACTTCTTTTCCTAATGGATAACTTCTCCCTGTCGTACCCCCCAGACGTGGCAGTAGGGCGGGCTTGGCGTTTCGCCTGAGACTCCGCCACCACTGATGATCCTGACGCTTGAAGTTTGCATCAGTGTCGACGATGGGGGTTTGGCCGTTTTCCACACAGAGCTCGCGCTTCAGCGCCGCGCGCATTCGTCTCACAAGTTTTTTTTGCAGCTTCACGGTGGGAAGACGGGTTGTCTTCAAAAAGGCGGCTCGCAGTAGAGATGCGCACATCTGTTTGAAAAGAATGCAGTAGTTTCAAGGATGGATGCCAGTTCCTCTTCAAAGTGCGGATCTCGCCTTCGCTCCGCGCACATTGTCTATTAACAGTTTGCACCACTTTCAAGGATTCGTAGGGTGGAAGTCCCTGGAACTGTGGTCTGGCACGATTTTTGTTTGTCAGGGTGCAGCAAGTACGTAGAGTCGCGATGTCGAAGTCCCAGGACACGTGTTCTGGCACGGCTCAAGATTGTCAGGAAGCAACAGTCGCGTCAATCCGCCGCTTTGAAGTCCGAAATAATGCTCTGGCGCGTTCTCGGACTCCCATTTACTTGAGGAAGTTGAGGGGTGGCCGAATCCGACCTTCTCGATCCCCTCCTGCCTGCGATGCCCCCCCCCCGCCGCCGCAGCAGAAGTGGCTCGAGCGGCCGGGCTCGCGGGCCCCGCCCCGGGGGGACTGCTGGGCTCTTGTTGGCGTCAAGAGGCCCGCCTTCGGGGGGGGGGGAGAGAGCTCTGTCCGCTTGTTTTCTTTGGTGTGTCGTGGTGATTTATGCGCTTGGTGTGTTTTGGTCGTTTGTTTGTTCGGTTGTCTGGTTGGTTGGTCGGTTGGTTGTTATTTCTCTGTGTGTGTGTGTGTGTGTGTGTTTGTGCTTGTCCCCTTTCCAGCTTCTCGCAGGAGCGGAGTTCGCCGCCTCGCCGCTGACGAACAAGTGTTTGTGCTCGTGTTTGTGTATGTGTTGTGTTTTCGCTTTCCTTTCCTTACTGATTTGTCGCTCTCTCTCTCTCTCTCTCTCCCTCTCTCTCCTTTCCCTGTCTGCCGGAGCTCTGCTCCGTAGCCTTCCTTCCCGCGGCCAGGGCCACGGCTCGGGCGCCGCCACCCGGCACGCTCCTTCCCTGCTGGGGCTCGCGCTCTTGCGGATCCGTCGTCCGCCCGCTCGCTGTGCGGCCGCCCTCTCTTCCCTGTGGCGGCGCGGCTCGGCTGCCGCCGTGTCGTCCCTGACCTGGACCTGCTCCCGGGGTCCAGTCAACCCGAATGGTAAGGATGAGCGACTTGCCGAGGTTACGAGGGAAACGAGCAATGACATAAACATAAAAACTCGGAGGTCTGCGCGGATTTCTCGGATCGGCGCTGGACCCCCCTGGCGGCACTTCCGGCGCCGCTTTCGGCGCGCTCCGCGCGCCAGGGAGGGGGGCCCAGCGCGGACCCAAGAAATCCGTGCGGATCTCATAGTTTTTTAATATGAAACATGCTTGCAGGGGTCTGCTGAGCAGATCGTTGAATGCCGTCACTCTGCACTCTGTACTCATATGGGTTCAAGTTTTTCTCTCGGGAAAAACGCTTGATGGCCCTGCGTGCCTACCGCGGCCCGCTGGCCCTGGCCGCCGCGTCGGCGCCTGGGTTTGGCCTCGCTGCGGTGGCACTCGGCGCTGTCCAACTTCCTCGCGGTGCTCCTCGGCGCCGAGGTCCAGCGGGCTGCGCACGCCGTGGGGGCGGCGGTCAGTGGCCCAGGGGGCGTGCATCCCGAGGAGGGGAGCTGCCCAGTGGTCCCATACCCGCCGTGCCCTGATCTTGCCTGCCCAAGGGCGCCGCCGTGTGCGCCATGCCCGGCACCGCAGTGCCAGGCGTGCCCGGAGATCCGGGGCGACCTCGACCAGCCCGACTACATCGGCTGGACCCTCAGTGCGTGCAACCTGGCGCTGACTGCGGCGGCGGGTTGCTCGCGGCGCCGGCCTCGCCAGCGCGAGGCGCCCGAGGCGCAGCCCGAGCAGGCCCCGCGCCTTGCCGTGGAGGAGGACGCCGACGCCACCGTGCTGAGGACCGAGGCGCTCCGCCAGCGCAGAACGATTCGGAATCGGGCAGTCTTGCGCACCCTCTAAGGCGGCATGGCGCAAGTGGGTGACTACATATTTATAAGGTCAACTTGTAAGGAGACGACGGCCTGCTCTACCACGAAAGTCTCATCACGGGAGTGAAAAAAAGGCTGCCGAGCGTGGTAAGCATCTATACCCCTGACGGCGACCACTACGAGATCGACCTGACCGTTGGCGACGATATCTACTCGGTCCACTGGCTCGGCGCGCAGGGAGCTTCTCATCCTGGGATTCGGAACGATCGATGCTACCAGTTCACGAGGAGGCCGACCGCTGCCGCGGTGAGGGCGCTCGTCCGCGACAGCCATTCATGCTCAGCGGCATCGCGCAGGATCGCCCCCCCGTGAGGGTGGCAGCCGCCCCGGGGGACCAGGTCGGAGGCTTCGCTAGGGCGCCAGCGCAGCAAGCTGGGCCCGTGCAGCGGAGGGCTCCCCCGAGGCGGGTGTGGGTAGTCGCCGAGGATGTGGCCCCCTCCGCCGTGGTGAGATCGTGGATGAGCTCCCGCGGGAGGCACATGTCATCGGAGACAAGGCGTTGATGCCGCTGGAGGGCGGCGACGCCGCGATGTTGAGGCAGATCGATCGGAAGGATCTCGACGATTACGTCAACGATGATTTGAGGGTCCTCCCAGTCCGCTTTGATGGCGCTGGCCGCCGCAGGAGGACGTTCCCCGACGCCGTCGGCCGCATGATGGATGAGCTGCCCGAGGGCGGCGTTGACCTCACGGGCCCTCGCACTTGCTGGTATCGGCTTCAGAACACCGCCTCCCTGTCTCAGACGCCCGCCACGCAGTTTGAGCGCTGGAAGGTGGCCGCCCAGATCCAGGACGGGGACAGGTCTCAGTATGAGCACGAGGCGCTCTCCCACATCTTGGAGACGATGGCATGCGTAGACCAGCTCAACGTGCCCAGTTTGAAGTTAGGCGAGCTGGTCGCCAGGAGGCTCCAGCTCATCGAGGGCGCGCGTGCTCATGTTGGCGCTGGAGGCGCAGCGGACTACAGCGCGGCCGACCACTGCATGGGCTGGTCGTCGCGGAGGATGGGAGTGGTCATCGACCCGCAGCTGCGCCAGCGCGTGGCCGACAACTTCCGCGGCGAGGCGCAGGTCGCCAAGGGGGCGGGGAAGGCCAAGGGGGAGCACCGGCTGCGCAGGCAGCCTGGCGGCCGCAAGAAGAATGGCAAGAACGCCAATGGGGCACCTCTGATGGGGCGGGGGCGCGGGAGCTGGCCAGCCCGCGCCCCCTCAGGGGCTTCTGCGTGGAATTCTGGACGAGATGAGGGTCGCCTTCGGGCTGCAATTTCTGGGCTGCTCGGGCCGACGGCGTCCGAGCATCGTCGAGTCCCGCGCCGAGAGCTACTTCCTGTGCCTCCTGTCCCGGCCACTCCTCCTGCGACTCCCGGGGCCTCGCACTGGGCGCGGAGGAGGCTGGCGCGTCGCCGCGGGGTCGAGGAGAGGGTCAATGAGGCTCTCACGGTTTTGAATGAGGTGAGCTGCGCGGGGGAGGAATCAGAGACCCTTCGGCCGTCGCTGGCGCAGCTCACCTCGCAGGAGGCGTTGCTGGAGCTGGTCTCCTCCCTGCCATCGCCCGCTGACACGTGCAGTCGCCGCGGGGCCGCTGACGAGCTCCCGGCTAGCGTGGTCGACTACGCCGGGGTCGACCAGGGTGTCGCAGCGAGGCCGTGCAAGCGATCTCTCGTGTCGATGCCAGCGGTCGGGGAGAGCTCTGCTCCGCTGACCTCGGTGGCTGGTGAGCTGGAGAGGGAGCTGCTGCAGCGGCCCGTATGCGCGATGCTGGCAGATTCCGACGATGTGGGTTGGAGGTCTGCGAAGATTAGTCTGATCGAGCCCTGCGTGGACGAGGTCTTTGCTCGGATAGGCCTCAGTACTTGATTTTCCTCGAGGACCTGTACGGCGTGTCGCTCATTTCTTGGACGTGCCAACCTCGCGAGATTTGCACGCCATTTTTCGCTGCCAAGAAGAATGGCGACCTCCGCGTGGTGATGGACTGCCGCGCCGGCAGCCCCCACTTTCGGCCTCCCCCGCATCTCGACATGGGGGCAGGGGGCGCTTGGTTGTAGAGGCCGGATGGCGCGGGCGCATTTCTTACAGCCGCAGCAGACGTGAATAACCACTTTCACACCACCCAGAACCATCCGGACCTTTAGCCCTTCTTCTGCTCGCCGCCGATCTCGTGCGGCGAGGCGCGGACCTTCGTGGAAGGTCACGAAGGGTTGAGCGATCGCGAGCCTGTCTGGCCCATGCTTCGGTCTGTTCCCATGGGGTGAAGCTGGGCGTTCTATTTTGGCCAGAAGATCTTGGATAACCTCGTCGACGAGGCGCTGAAGGGCTTCACTCACTACGCCCTGCTGAGGGACATCGGGCCGATTTTGGACGTCGCTTCGGAGTTGGGCGTGCTGCCGTAGTGCGACAACCTCAACGTCTTTGGCTTGGACAAGAGCGCCGTGCAGCTGGCCGAGGACAGGGTGGTCTCCCACCTGAGGGCGAGAGGCTTCCCCGTCCACGAGGAGGTCAACGCCTCGGTCAAGGTCGCCTCCCTCGGCAGGTGCATCGACGGCGACAGGTGGGTCGTCTACAACAAGCCTGAGCGGGCAGAGCGGTTCGCGAAGGTTTGCAGTGTTATCGAGAATGGTGCCCGTCTCTCGGGCCATGCAGTTCAGAGGTGGGCTGGCCACGTCGTCGACTTCTTGCCGATTCGTAGGGAGGGTTTGGCCGTCCTCAGGTCCACCCACGACTTCATTGACAAGGTCGGCTCGGGCAGACAAGTGCGTGACCGTTGCTGCGCAAGGAGGCCCGCTGGGTGAGGGGCCTCATCGGAGTCTGCGCCCCATGGCCAGAGGCCCTGCCTTGGGAGGAGACCGCCAGCTGGGGAGGACCAGGAGCAGGAGCAGGATGATGATAATGATGATGATGATGATGATGATGATGATGATGATGATGATGATGATGATGATGATGATGATGATGATGATGATGATGATGATGATGATGATGATGATGATGATGATGATGATGATGATGATGATGATGATGATGATGATGATGATGATGATGATGATGATGATATGATGATGATGATGATGATGATGATGATGATGATGCTGATGCTGATGATGATGATGGATGATGATGATGATGATGATGATGATGATGATGATGATGATGATGATGATGATGATGATGATGATGATGATGATGATGATGATGATGATGATGATGATGACGGGGAGGGCGGGGGACGAGGTGGAGCAATTATGCGGGAGACGACGATGTGGGAGACGACGACGATGACGACGATGACGATGATGACGACGACGACGACAGCGGCGGCGGTGGCGGCGGCGGCGGCGGCGGCGCATCGGCGACGACGAGGGTGCGGCGAGGGCGCCGCGGGCTGCGCAGGCTCGTGCTGAGGCGGCTGGCCGGCGGCGGCTCCGCGCCGCGCGGGCGATGTCTGTGGGGAGGGCGGGGCCGAACGCGTACCAGAGGCGGGCGCGCGCCGCCCCGTGCTCTCTCTGCCCAGACACCGCGCGGGTCGTGGGAAGCAAGACGGCGAGAGATCTTTCGCGGCCTCTGTCAGGGCTCAGAGAGCCCAGGGTTCGCCAGCGACTGGTTGCCCTCTAACTTGGTGACGAGCCGTCCCAAGCTCTCCCGAGAAACCCTCCGAAAAGCCTCCCAGAACCTTTCTTGGGGGGAGTTCGGAGGGTTTCGGGAGGGTTTCGGCTGTTTTGAATGGAAACCAGTCCTTAGCGAACCGTGGAATTTCTAAGTCTAGGCCCTGGCCTCCCAAAGGGGGTCCGAGCAGAAGGGGGGCGGAGCATCGCTCCGCATCGGCGATGCATCGCCGACGGCGCCGATGCATCGCCGACGTCGTCGAAGCATTGTCGATGTATCGCCGATGCACCGGCGCATCGGCGATGCACTGGCGATGCTGCGCGTTCCTCCGACCCCATGTAGTCGGACTCCGTCTGGGAGGCCCCTACTCTGGGGGCCCTCGCTGGGCCCGGGGCAGTGAAACAGCGGCGTAGGATGAAGAACCGGGCCTGGGGAATGGCATGGGTCCAGGCCTCTGGTGGTCCACGAATCCAAAACCCGGATAGCGGGGCGCCAGAAGGGCGTGGAAAGGCCTGTCGGAGACTTCTGAAGGACTTGAAGAGAGAGCTTCCGAAGGACCTCCTGGAGAGCTTCCGGGTACGCATATGGGGAAACGTTGAGAAAAGGCCTCTCGGGACGCGCTGCAATTTCGCAGGAGGCGCGCCGAGGCTTCCTGCCGGAAGCTACCCTGTGGCTCGGGATTCTTAATCTGAAACCTTCTTAGCTCTCCAAGGAGCTATCTGTGAAAGTTCACTACGTCTGGGGTCTGGGCTCTCGGGTGTGGCCATGCCCTGAGAGCTGGGCGCTGCAGCTTTCTCACGCCGGGCGTGCTTCTTTGCCCAGTTTCGGGCCCCAGGGCCGTCACTCACAGATCGATCCCGCTCCTGAGAAGGTGCAAACATTGGGATCTTTTTGATTCGTTCAAGACATCGCCACTCTCATTTCGTTTAGGCATACCCAACAACTCCTGGCGCCAACATCGCAGAGCGGATTTCGTTCGGAAAACAATTGGATGGGCCCAGATTGTCCTGGAGAATGTCGTTCCAGATTTCGAAGTGAATTTCGTGTTTTTTTTTGGCCAGGAATGAAGACTTCAAAACATCTACGTGAAAACGCTTGTTTTTCGCTTGCCGTTTATGGGTTGTCATTGACACACATCCACGCCAAAAATCCGCCGCAGCACGTCTGTAAGGTCGGTGTAATGGAAAAAACGACTACACCCAAAGCGACCATAACACCCAAAACGACCATTCCTAATTCGTTTGGGCATGATCAAAGTATTAGCATGTAGTATGCCAACTTTCACTTACGCACGCCCAGCGACCCCACACGCCCGCATTACGCAGGCAGGCCTAATTTGGCCTCCCAGAGTTTTAAAATTACCAACAAGGGAACCCAACACAGAAGGATGGGGTCTCTGGCTCCGGTTGTGATTTTTCGTGATGCTATATTCGGGTGTTGCTAGAAGTGCCCCTGGCCCAAGGTGGCCCCAGGATTTCCAAGGAGGCCCCCACGGCCTCCAGAGCACCCCTCACGAGGCCCGGAGGGCCCCAGGGCTCCCAAATCGAGCGAAAAGCTGGGGGTACCTTGGGCCAGGGGCACTTCTGGCAACACCCGACCTTCCCCAGAGCTTGGGAAGCTGGCGACCCTCCATCATCCGAGCTGAACCTCGTTGCCCTTCCTCGCCCTCTGTCTCCTCATGGGGGAAGCAGAGCATGAACTACAGGAGGCGGAGGAGGAGGAGGCAGAGGAGGAGGAGGAGGAGGAGGAGGCAGAATCTGGGAGTTGTGGAAGACGACTAATGGAGAGGAAATCATTTCCAGCTGTTGAATATTGTCCTAAACATGTAAACCTTGTGTAAACTTTGTGTTGGAATGAAACCAGGCTGAATAATTCTAATCCAATGGTAGGATTGTTCGAGTGCTCTTTGTCATGGCATCCATAAGCCTTCCGAGAAGCCTGGCAAGCCTCCACAGAAGCCGCACATGGCTCCACAGAAGGCGCGAGGCCGTCTGAGAAGCCGCTGCCTCCTGAGAAGGCCAGCCCCCTCTTAATTCCCCCCAGGCGCGCCGCCGACTCGGGGGCGGCCAACGGTGATCCTGGCTAATTGTTCGATGATCCAAGAAGAAAGACGACATAAACATCAACTTTCGGATACCTGCGCGGGTTAGTTGGATCTGCGCGGACTCTGGCGCCGCACCTGGCGCGCTCCGCGCTCCAAGGGGGTGGGGGGCCCGACGCCGAGTCAAGAAATCCGCGCGGACCTTCGAAAGTTTCTGTTTATGTTTGTGTAGTTTTTTGTTATCCCGACCGTGTCCGCAGGCTTTTCAGGGAGGGCCAGATGGTCTCCAGAGCACCCCTCACGAGGCCCAGGGCTCCCTCGAGGGTGCGAAGTTCTTCGCGCTTCGCGCTTCGCGGCTCGGCTCCGATTCCTCATCCTTTTCCTCTCCCTTGTGGGGCGGCGCGAGAGCGCGAAGCTATTCGTGCTTCGCGTTTCGCGCAGCGCGAAGTGCGAAGTTTGGCGCCTTTGCAGAGGCCCCCGAGGGCTTCCAAGTGGCGCGAGAAGGAGGGGGCACCCTGGGCCAGGGGCACCGTGGCAACCCCCGAGTCTCGTCGTCGAGTGTTTTAATTCTCGAGGATCGAGCTCCTTGGGGAGGAGGTTTTTCTCCTCCTCATCGTCGTCGTCCTTCTCTTCGTTGGGAAGATGGGACGTAGAGTACACATGTTCCTTGCCATTCGTTTTTCATCCTCTTCTTCTTCCTCCTCGTCTTCTCCCTCTCCTAGCCTCTTCCGCCTGTTTAGACAGAGGATCGAGGATCGAGGTTCGAGGAGCGAGGGTTGAGGTACTTCTCTAGCGCCTCCTCCTCCTCTTCTTCCTTTTCTTGTTCTCCTTCGCCCCTCCCCTCATCTTTCTCTTCAGGGGAAGAAGGTCCTCCTCTTCTTACCCTTCCCCTCTTCCTCCTCCCCTCTGCCTCCGGATGAGGAGCCAGGCGCCTCGCCCCTGCTCTCGTCGTCGCCGCTGCCGTCGTTGCAGTCGTCATCGTCGTCGTCGTCGTCGTCGTCGTCGTCGTCGTCGTCGTCATTCTGCGTCCTGGCGACGTAATGGCGTGCCGCGAGCTTCCCTGACCTGCACCGCTGCTGCGGATAGTCACGACGGCTGGTCTGGAGTTCTTCACGATGCCAGCTTAAGACTTCACCGCGAGTGGTTTTCGTCGCCCTCCTTCCCTTCTTTCCGGCCAGTTCTTGCATGGCGGAGGCCCTTCTCAGGTGTTGCTAGGATTGCCCCCTGGCCTAAGGTGCCCCCAGGATTTCCAAGGAGGCCCCCACGGCCTCCAGAGCACCCCGCACGAGGCCAACAGGGCCCCAGGGGCTCCAAAGTGGAGCGACAATCTTGGGGCACCTTGGGCCATGGGCACTTCTGGCAAGATCCGACCTTCCCCAGAGCTTGGGAAGCTGGCAGCTTTTGATCAACCGAGCTGAACCTCGTTGCCTTTCCTCGCCCTCTGTCTCCTCATGGGGGAAGCAAAGCGTGAACTACAGGAGGCGGATGATGATGATGATGATGATGATGAGGAGGAGGAGGAGGAGGAGGAGGAGGAGGAGAAGGAGGAGCAGGAGGCCGAGGAGGAGGAGGAGGAGGACCTTCACCGTGATTGGTCGGCTGCCTTGGCCAGGACAAAGCATGGAGACACTAGGCGGACCATGCAGTGCTTTGAAGCTTGGCATGTGACTTTGCCCCTTGCCATCTGGTGCGGTCTGCTTTCGTTTTTGATCCCTACTTCGTGATCCCCTTCAGCGCCGGTGGTCCCCAGGTTGAAAGCAGCTGGACCCAACGCTCCACGACGATCGCCTTTTCCGCATCCGTCGTCGCAGTACTGCGACATCCCAGCCGACTTCTCAAAGGTGGATTCGATCTTGAAGCATCTGCAGCAGACGGAGAGCCATGACTGGCTTGGCGAAGTCACTCATTGCTGCACCCAGGCTGGACTCCCTCGCTCTTTGAAGTGCCGTTCGCTGATTGCAGGCTCGGTATCGCACGCGCATCACGAGAAGATTATCGCAGTCAAGGAAGCACGCTGTGCGTTACACGGCAGTCTCTCCACGCCTGGACCCGTGTCCGTGGGCGTCCGCGGCAGGTGCGTGTAAGCATGTGTGCGCATGCACGCGCGTGCGCACTCATTCGCAGGCGCAGGCGCAGGCCGACATGCTGGCGCGCACAAACCGCCCGCCACTTCAGTGCCAGGCCGGGAGGAGCAGCAGCAGAGGGAGGAGGAGGAGGAGGAGGAGGAGGAGGAGGAGGAGGGGGAGGAGGAGGAGGAGGACGAGGAGGTGGTGGTGTACAAATGGGAAAATGTATCCAGGTGCCTGCGACGAGTCCGCCACCCTGCAGCGAAGCGCTCAGGGCCGTCAGATGTGACACCTCTCGGGGAGAGCTCTCGTGGGGATTTTTTGTGTGCCGTTTTGGGGCAGTCTTGGGGGTCCCTTGGGGCCCTCTGCATGCCGTCTTGGGGGCACTCCTTGGGCCGTCTCGAGCCCTGTCGAGCTGTTTTGGGGCCCTCGTGGCCGTGCCGTGGGGCCTTGTTGGGCTGTCCAGGGGGCGCTTTCAGTCCTTCCAGAGGCCCTCTTGGGGCTTTCGGTGGGCCCCTTTAGGCCCTCGACGACGGCACCTGGACTGATCTTCGACCGAAGAGCGTGTAAAGCGAACGCCATTGAAGCACCCGTGGGGCACATTTTTGTTGGGCCTCTCGAGGGCCTCTCGGAGATCGTCTTTGGGAATGTTTTAGGGCCCTGTTGGAATCCTCTTGGGACCTACGGGGCGCTTGTCAGGGGCTCTCGGGTGCGCCTTGTTTGGCATCGCTCGGACGTGTGCATTTTTGTCGGCGAATACATAAACTAACGAACTCGAAACAGGGCACAGGGAATGGACGTCCGAGCGATGGCGAGCTTGCGGAAAGGTTGGGCCATCTTGGCAGCATCGGTGGCCTCCTTGGGCCGTCTTGGAAGCCGTGGAGTTCCTCTCGGAGGGCCCCGAGGAGGCGGCGGGCTGCCGGTGCGGTCTCGGGGAACGGGTGGCTGCACGGGGCCGAGCGTGAGAGCAGCGGGGGGGGGGGGGGGCGGGCGGGCGGTCTTAGAATATTGCTCGGACAGGCATGGAACTACACTTTGGGCGAGTGGATTAGCTTCTTGCGCGGATCCCGAAATTCCAAACTTACTTTTGCGACATCGTCTTACGTATTGGTTCGCCCGCCATTCGAGGGGGCCGATCGCGCCAGTTGGATTTGCCTGGGCCTCGGCGTCTCTTGCCAGTGTCAGTCTGGAATCAAGGTTTGCGCCTCACGAGTGGGTTGGAGGATGAGCGCAAGGTGAGTCTTTCAGCTGCGGGGGGGCGCGGGCGTTTGCCGCCACGCAGGGGCCGGGGGCAACTACGACACGCTCAGGGAAATGGAGGGCGGCAGGTAGAGGAAGAACGGGGAGGGGGAGGGCAAAGCAGCGGGCGGGAATTGCGAACATAGTGACCAGGCGAGATACTTTGATAGGGGGAGCAATGTGGGCGGAGGCCGCAGTTGGAATTCCTTCTGATAGCCCCAGGACGTTCAGACACCTCCGCCCGGAGGCCGGCAGGGGGTTCAGCGGCCCTTGCCTTCCTGACTCTGCGGGCGGGGCGCGACGACGTACCCGACGTGTACCCCGTCCCTTTCGCTAAGTGCCGGTCTGTACGTGCTCGCCCCGCGCGAGACATCCAGCGCGTTCAGAACTGCACTTAGCCGGGCACTAGGTGTAGTTTTGTACGTGCTGGTTTCGCCGGAGACATCCCCACAAAATTGAGCACTTATAGAACTACACCTAGCCAGCGGGGCGGGGTGCATGTCGGGTGCCGCCACTCGCGCCCCCAACGTGTACCGCGCCCCGGCCGCTAAGTGCCGTTTTGTACGTGTCCCCTTTTCGCGAAGCATCGGCTGCCCGCGCTGCCCATCGCCGAGGCCCCGCCCCCTGGGCCGCTCCCCACCGACATCCCGCATCCCCTGGTTCAGCGAAGCCAGCCGTATGCCTGGGGGCCTCGACATCGCGCAGCCCGCTTCCCTCCCCCGCCCGTGCCCCGGCAACAAATTCGCGATCCGATCCCCCGCGTTTTCAAATTCTTCTTCGTGCCGGATTCCCCGTCCGAGGGTGAGCGCTTTTTCGTGTTATGATTCTTCTTGCGGCTGCCGCCAAGCCTCGCCGTGAAACGTGGTGATCGCTTCCACGCTTGGCACGCAACATCGTCGGCACGACCATCGCATTCCATCGTAGGTCGCGAGGCGGCGTCCGTCCACCCAGACCGACCGACGCGCCAAATCGAGTTATGATTGCCACCCCTGGTCCCCGCAACAAGGTGCAGTTTTGCTGTGTGTAGTTGTAGATGTGTTCGAATTGCTCGATACGATCGAGGTGGACATTCCCGATTTCATAGTAAAATGTGTGTGTGTGGGTCACAAACCTCACAGATGAGCAATTTCAGACCCCCTCCTCCGACCAGCCGCGAACGAGCGGCCTCGTGCCCAGACCGCCCCGAAGCTTCCGAGACAGCTCAAATCAGAGCCCCCCCAAGTGTCCCGCCCACACTGTCTGATGTAGTCCGGACTACGTACGGCAGCACGGGTGCGAAGACCGACAGCAGTTCCTGCCCATTCTGCACAGGATTCGCTGCTGGCGCTGTTGCGGGCGTCGTTCACTTCTGAGACACGAGGCCGCCTGCTCAACAGAGCGGCCGCTGTTGGTTTTTGGGCAACACCTGCTGGTGGGCGGAGGAGGCGGAGGAGGAGGATGAGGAGGAGGAGGAGGAGGAGGAGGAGGAGGAGGAGGAGGAGGAGGAGGAGGAGGAGGAGGAGGAGGTGGAGGGGGAGGAGGAGGAGGAGGAGGAGGAGGAGGAGGAGGAGGAGGAGGAGGAGGAGGTGGAGGAGGAGGACGTGTCGCCTAAGCCCTTCGGAGAAACCCTCAGGCCCACCCAGGACATTTGTGATTTTAGCATCGTGCCCACTTTTCCCGCGCCCATGCCAGGCGTCCACAAGCAGCAGGCACCCTGCCAGGCAGCACACTTTGCCACGCCTCAGCATGCCGGGGTGGGCCCGGAGGCGGACTTCAGGGGAGCAGGCGCGCGGACAGCACACTTATGTCGGGCGTGTCCCCCTACAGGGGGATTTTCGACGACAAATAAAAAATACACCCAAAATACCCCAAAAAGGTCAAACACATACTCAAAAAATAGTCCCCAGATTATTCTTGGATTATTTTTTGATTATTTTTGGGGTATTTTTTATTTTTCGTCGAAATCCCCCTGTAGGGGGACAGGCCCGACTTAACAGCACACGCGGTGCACGGGAGTGGGTCGCAGGGAACGGCCGCGGGCCGAATCGGCAGAGATGCTCGCCTCCGCAGGCCCTGCTCCGTAGCGAGGGTTCAGCGTGCTGCCGCAGGGGAGGAGCAGGTGGAGGATAGAGGGTGAGGACAGGGGAGGGAGGGAGGTCTGCCGTGCGTCGGCGATTCCCTGCCGAGCTCGCGGCACGATTCGTTTACGCACGTAGCGACCATCGGCTCATATCCCCGTCTCATCCCTCGTCTCCTTGTCGCATGCCATCCCCCATGGGGGACGAGGGTCGAGGGCGAAGGGAGAGGAGGGGTGTTGCACTGGTGGTGTGACGTGTGTCCTTCATCGTGCGAGAGTCCGCGGCCTCGCGAACGCACTGAGACGTTATCGTGCATTCGTGCGGCTCTGCGTCGTTCTCCTTCTGTTTCTGTCTGCACTCAGAGTCGATGCGCTGTCAGCAGCTGTCTCTGTGTGCTTCGGTTTCTATTTGTTTTGTCGTTGAAGTACCTGGTGCATCACATGAGGTCTGCTACTTGCTGCTGCAGAACTACAACATATCGCGCTTCAATTTCTATAATTATAATTGTCATTTGATCGTGCTCACAACCCTCTTCTTGGCCCAGCGGATCTGGTTCTTCTTGTGGAGAGTGACTTCATTTTCGGACGCGCATGGCTTGAGGCTCCGCATCGCTGCTTGTGCAAAGCTTTGCATCGCTATGCTCTTCTCGTGTTGTCGCATGTCTTTCCGCCGCTACCTGCTTTCTCCGTCCAATCGATTCTGCTCTTCTTGCGAAGCTGCCATTCAGCGCCGATTGTGTTTGTGCTGCGACTATTGTCAGGCGTGATTGTATCTCGGCTTGACACGGCTTCTAGCATAAGTGCGCCGCAGTGTTTGGAGGGCGTCACCAAGGGTGAGTACGTGGATCTTTATCGACGAGGGGCAAAAGATTTTGTATGCTGCACAATCAACTCATCGTCGTCGCTCTTGCCCTCGCCCTATTAGCTTTACGTCTCTCCGTCAATGTCTAGGCCTCTTTGTGTTTCTGTCTCCCTGACTCCCCGCCTCTCTGTCTGCCAGTGTCTCACTCTCTCACTCTCTCTCTCTCTCTCTCCTTTATCTTTACACAAGTGTACATACACGTATATGTGTCTGGCTCTGTGTATCTTTTCCTTTGCACTCTCTTCCCGTCGCTGTCCTTTGTATGCGTACATGTATATGCATACATACATATATATATCTATATCTATATATCTTTCTCTCTCTCTCTCTCCCCCCTCTTTCTCTCTTTTTGTTTCTATCTCTCTGAAACTCTCTCTTTCTCTCTCGCTCTCGCATTCCCTCTTTCTCTGTATATAGATATAGAGCTACTTACGTTTGATAAGCTGTTCCCTTTGTTTCCCTCTCCCCCTCTCTTCTCTCGCTCCCTGAAACTACCTACATAATTTTCTGGGTATACAAGGGACATACGCGTGTATATAAGCTACACCTCGCTACCCCTATGTATACACATATGTATCCTATTTCTGTTTGATTGCGTACACCATTATCTGTGAACATATCTATGTACGTCACTGTTGGTGTTTGATTACGAACAGGTTGCTGCATCGATCACTGTACACAGTTTCAGGTCCTTCTTTCTCTTTCTCAAGGTCTCTTTCTCTCTCTTTCACTCTCTTCTGTTCCCCCGCTTTCCCAGTTTCCAGGTTCCTGGTTCCCTGTCCTAGGTCCTTGGTTCAATTAAGGCTTTTTGGTCGCCGAGTTCCTGGTTCCTGGTTCTTGGTTCCCGGTTCCTGATTTCCGGCTTCCCGTTCCCTGT